TGGTGCCGCTTCGTCTGCAATACACAGTCCCCTCCCCATTTCCGATTTCGCGCTTAAGCCGCGCACAGTCGCACACGCAAAATGTCACATCCTCTCTCAAAGTCCTCCAAGCAAACGCCCACTGCTGTTGCTTCTCCCAAACGTTACCAGACCACCCCTACGAATCTCGCTCTGGCCTCTAACAGAAGTTCCTTCCAAGTTTCTGCTCCGTCTACACTCTATACTAACCGCCACAGCATGTTTGTGCGTGTAAGGGCACCAACATGCTGCCGACACTACCAAATGTCAAGTCGGCTATCAGTCGCCAAGAGTACGCACACGCAAGCAAATCCATACCAACATCTCCTGAGTCCTGACTCCTAGTTCGCGAACTCAGTCCCCATCACATCACAAATTCAGTTCACGAATTCATTCACCATCACATCACGTATACACCAGAGTCACGAAGTCCTTCACCACTGCATCACGGGTGCGTCAGAGTTCACGAGGTCACTCCCCGTCACATCGCGGCTCCTTCCGAGTTCATGAAGTCACTCCCCTTCGCATCACGACTCGTTCCGCGTTCACGAAGTCACATCCACTTCACATCACGGCTTCTTCCGAGTTCACGGAGTCACGCCTGTTCACATCACGACTCCTTCCGCGTTCACGAAGTCACATCCCCTTCACATCACGAGTTCTTTCACGTTCACGGAGTCACGCCCATTCACATCACGACTCCTTCCGCATTCACGAAGTCACATCCCCTTCACATCACGACTTGGTCCGAGTTCACGAAGTCATTCACAGCCCTTCACCATGACGCGGTGAGCGTGAGTGAGTGTGAGTGAGCGAGTTCGTGAGTGACTTCGCCGAGGTATGCGTGCCACAGAGATTAGGGTGACCACCCGTCCCGCGACTCGCGGGACTGTCCCGCATTGAAGGCGCGTGTCCCGCGTTCCGCAAGAAATTCTCAAATCTTCAAAATGTACCGCATTTCATACTCTAGTAAAATTCACCCTGCAACTCATGGCGCTGCCGAACAACGGGGCACGGGGAAGCGCGGATGTCGCTGGTAATCGTGTGAATCGCAATGGTACACCATTTTCTATCCAAGCATTGTGGGAAGCAACCGTCGTTCTTCCAGGAGAAACGACGCGCATGCTCCGTTGTGCCTCTCCCCTTGGGAAAATATCCTAAGAAGAATTGCTCACCAAAAGTTTCAATATAAAATATTGTAATTATTTTGAAATCACTGTGTCAATGTGAAAGAGTTGTTCTGGAGTTTTGTTTTAGTAAAGGCAGGCCATACAGGGCAAAAAGCCTACAACTCGCAACGGTCGAAAAAAAATATAATGTTAAAAATTTGTGTAGGACCCTGTTGATAAAAGTAACCGTTCAGAGGAAACAATAACCCGAAAAAGATTTACTGTTTCTTATTTCCATTTGATGCATTGAGTTCTGCTACAGTCGATTTTTATATTTTTATAACTTCGACACATTAATAACACATTTGGCATAAAATATATATCACTGGGAGTGAAAATTAATTGAGCTTAATTGCCGCAATACAATTAGCAGCTGTATAAACAACACAGAATATTACATGTGTTAACAGAGCCTGGGTTCGTGGTGCGTTGTTAATACATTTCCCCTACACGCACAACTACCACCGACGGCAGCGATGTTCAATTTCAGGGATGACGATGACTTCGTACCGTCACCATACCCTCAGGACATGATCGGCAGCAGAAAGGACAAAACAGGACAATGAAATGCACAATCAGTTTATGAAGACCGCGCCATGTTCACGAGCGCCAATACCCCGTCGTCGTCGTCGTCGTCTCCATTCCTCACATATTTTTATTGCTTCAAATAATTGTCTGCATAAAAAAAAAAAAAAAAAAAAAAAAAAGAAACGCAAGAAAGAATATGCGCGAAAAATCCATCCGATCCGACGTCCGATCCGGCAATACGACTGCCTGATCCGAAAAATTTGGTCGCTTCAGGCGTCGGATCGGCGATCCGACGTGCGTCCAACGCGCCAGATACTTTCGCACGGCGGACGGATTGTCGGATGCGTCCAGCCAATGACAGCACAGCTAGCGCGAACGTCATGATGACGCATGGGTCTGGCGGGACGAAGCGAACACGATAACGGGACGGGCGAGGGGAAGCCGGACGCGTGGATCCCGCCGACCCATTCGAGAAAGATGACCCCGGCAAAGAACGCACGCGCCAGCGAGAACAAGCTAATAACTTCGCTTGTGCAAGCTAAACCGTCAATCTAAGACCAGAGATCTATGAACGCGGACCTCCGCTGGAGTGCTTGGATCTCCTGGGCGGAGCCGAACGGATCGTCGTGTCGCATGCAAGGTCGGAAGCGTGTGTCTCAAACTGTCGCGTGCGGCAATTCGGAGCGGCGTTCGGACTGTCGGATCGGACGTCGGATCGGACGATTCTGTCGTCCATGTGTCTCGCGCTTAAGCGCGAAACACATGTACGACGAAACCGTCCGATCCGACGTCCGATCAGGCAATACGACCGTCGGAGGCGAGGGTTTTCAACGCTCTCCGATGCTACGAAAACCCTCGCCCTCCAAGGTCATTCCGGCAGTCCGCACGTCGGATTGGACGGTTTCGTCGTACACGTGTTTCGCGCTTTAAACACAGGACATACCACGGACAAAATCCACGAAAGGTGTGCTGTCGGTGTTCTGTCCCATATTTAATTATTTAAGTTTTTACACTTAAACCAACGCACTTATCAAGAAAGTATCTGTATATGCACCCTTAAAGCGTTTGTTTGTTGTATTTATTACAACTAAACCTCATAACACGTTAATTATCCACCGTCGGCGACAAAAAGAAGTAAGATTTCTTTATCTCCATCCATCCAGGAACTGGCATCACTTCCCACGAATCAACATGGCCTTCGGTAACGGTAGAATTTGGAACACGTCGAGGTACGGGGAAAGAAAACCTACGCAACTCTACTCGTCATTAGTACATACCGACAGAACACTGAAACTCATCCCATACTTGAGATGGGAAGTAGGGCATTACTAGAATTTAATTTCGCACGTAATTTTTGTTAACGGGTTTTAGCAACGTTTCGAAACTTCCGCTGGTTGCCAGAAACAATCAGAGGGGTCATGGATAACTCTGGCAGGCTAACCTAATATTGTCTGAACATCTAACGACAAATTTGGTTTTTACAGGATAAAGTTTGCTTATAAAGTTATAAGGCACACGATGAAGTTATAAGAAACTACACGTTTAAAGCGCGAGACACATAGACGGCAGAATCGTCCGATCCGACGTCCGATCCGACAGTCCGAACGCCGCTCCGAATCGCCGCACGCGACAGTTTGAGACACACGCTTCCGACCTTGCATGCGACACGACTATCCGTTCGGCTCCGCCCAGGAGATCCAAGCACTCCAGCGGAGGTCCGCTGGAGATCTGGGATCAATCTGGGACCAGATCTCTGGTCCCAGATTGATGGTTTAGCTGACAGGAGCGAAGTTAGAAGCTCGTTCTCGTTAGCGCGTGCATTCTTTGCCGGGGCCATCGTTCTCGGATGTGTCAGCGGGATCCACGCGTCCGGCTTCCCGTCGCCCGTCCCGTTTCTTGTTCGTCCCCCCAGACCCAGTACGTCGTCATGACGTTCGCGCTGTAGCTGTGCTGTCAATGGCTGGACGCATCCGACAATCCGTCCGCCGTGCAAAACTATCTGGCGCGTTGGACACATGTCGGATCGCCGATCCGACGTCTGAAGCGACCAAATTTTTCGGATCAGGCAGTCGTACTGCCGGATCGGACGTCGGATCGTATGGATTTTTCGCGCATCTGTCTCGCGCTTAAGAAACTAGGCCATGGCGGTGCACCTAAACTGTGTCTCCTCCTGGGTTACCAAAGCTCTGTGTCACGTGTGCGTGGTCTCGCTTAGATTTCACAGAAGCAGCGATGGGGATTCATTGTCATTACGCTCTATTCACAGTGCTTGCTACAATATATACCAGGGGTCTCAAACACGCGGCCCGCGACTCGCTGGGACGAAGCCCGCAGGGGACCGGCTACAAGTCCCTGTTCCCATGTCTCGAGCGCTAGAAATGGCATGCGACATCGTGATCTCATCTCGCCGATTCATTTTCGCTCGAAATGTGGCTCTGTTCTTTTAACGGTCCCATGGTTTCTACTTCATGCGTACTGTAGGGATGGCCGGAAGGGTTTAACCGAAAGAGCTCGGGGAATTGGCGGCGAGGTCACCCGAATCAACCACCGAGTCGTGAGCATCACTGAAGCCACCGGAAAGAAGCCACCCTCCAGCCATCGCAGCACCCCACGATAGACCGAGAAACATTACTCGTACCTTTGCCCCCTTTTTTTTTTTTTGCTTTTTAGTTTTCTGTAATGTTCAACATTTCCGCTACTATAGCTACAATCGCGAGCTTTTCGTTGAAGGATGCCTATAGGCTGCGCGAACTCTCTATCAGAAGAAGCAACTTCTGAGGATAAAGCTACGAGCTCGGGATTATCACCTTAAAAAAAAAAAAAAAAAATATCCGCATAAAATAGATAGGCAGGTGTTTGTTCAGAGTTGTAGTAAAAAATCGGCCAGAAAAGCAAGAACTGTCAAATTAACTGATTGTTTTTTAAGAGACATGTTGAGCATAATTAATTCCTGAGCGAACTGAGCAACGCCAACTACAGTGTAATTACTATTTGTTCTATTAAAAATGTTAGCAGGTTGGCGGGGTGGTGTCATCTTAATTACTGTTATCACACCAGATCAGGGTCAAACGTAGTCATATAAACAAATGAAATCTAAAGATGTCACTGGCAGAAGTGTGAGTCATAGAAAGCACAGAACACGAGGTCTCTTCTCTTTAACATTTTTTAACCCACCTCCCCCCCCCCTCCCCCCCCCTCCCCCTCGATTTACGTTGACCTTCGACCTTTCGGGTGTGGGCTATCTGGCCCCCACGCTCAAATGAGTTTGAGACCACTAATATATACCATTAAAATAACACACATTTTATTTATTTCGCGTAAGTATTCCACATTCATGCCTCAATATTGTCGATTTTTTCAATTTTGGCTAACAGAGACGCCAGCTAATTTCGTTTCAACGTTATCAATGGCCGGAAAGATGCAGAGGAAGTAAAGCCGGGAGGCAAAGTTGAGCATTTAACATGTCGTATATCCGCCGTCAATTGGAAGTACAACACCGGTAACCATAGACGACCGGTCGCTGAGAAGGTACAACACCACATCCGCAATCTCTTTTGGTTCTGAAAAAGAAAAAAAACAAAACAAAAAATACTTAGCCGGCTTTGAATGTAAAAGAAATACGAGAGATTGGTTCGTTTCTCTGCGGCCACAAATATATACTCCATCTCATAAACATCTGCAGTGCTGACAAAGTCATGCACGAGTGCGTGGCTTTGGAAAATACCTTATATGCACGAGTTCTCGCATAACCAGAAGCATTCTGCTGGGCCTTTGTCTTTACTGCGGACATATGTGAAATGGAGTATAGGTTTTTGGTGAAAATGTTGACATGCTTATATACTTTTTCAATTTCAGGGCTCTTTCTAGGGTGTTGCTCGAAAATGTTCATTATTATTCCCATCCCGACTAAAAGAAACGACTTAGGAGTACTTAAATTTACTACTTGATTATTGAATGCACTTAACATATTTTTCAACAAGAATTGACAAACTTTGAGAGAAATTTGATTAGCAGCAGAAACTTTATTAGGTACACACGTTTCGGGAAAAAAGTTCCCTTCTTCAAATATGCAAGCGCTACACTGTTTGTAGTGTTTTCATGTGTTGAACAGTGACAAAAGGAGAAACGCATGTGCTTGCGAACCTTGCCCTCTGAAACCGCGTACACAAGAAATAGGATAGAACGGCTCTTAACGATTGCGCGTATAAGCTCAGGGATGTTATTTCAAACTACAAGGTATCATAAGTTCATAACAGAACAACGCTCCACTCATTACCGCTGTATTGTAGCCTGAGCGACATGCCTACAACTTTAAATGTGGCCAGACATGTGCCGATGTTTGTAAGCAAACCTGGGTTCATGGCCAGGCACCAACCAAACGTTGGCCAATGGCTGGCCATTGACCAGGTCTGCCTGGTGTCGTACCTGCGAAACGGCCCAGCGGAATCTTGGCCCTCATTTCATCGGCCTTGCCGGACGCTACCCAGACGGCCTGGCCCATGGCTGTGTTGGTGACTGTAGGGTTCACGGAGTTCACTCGAATCTGAAATAAAGTTTGGCGCCCGATTTATTAGACAGGTGGGCGTTCTGATGGGCATAGGGGGTATACTGTCTGGCCAAACCTTCATGGGGCCGTAATTCGGACGAAACAACATGTCAAGGTGTCATTTCTCTCGCAAATTTTCGTATATTCAAACCATACTTACAAGTACTAGAAAAAGGAGCGAGAGAGAGAGAGAGAGAGAGAGAGAGAGAGAGAGAGAGAGAGAGAGAGAAGGGAGAGAACGTCTCGGAGCTGGGAAATAAAATATTGTTTTGCTGCCATTTGGGAAATTTGTTGAGAACAGCCGTGTGGCAACTAGCCTGTGTTTTGAGGTTTTTGTCTGCCTTGCGTTGTTCAGCTGTCTCTTTGTGTCACGCCGTACGATGAACATTCCTTACGGGGTAACATCTGCGTCTTAACCACTATACAAAAACCCAACGTCGTGCCGTTTCGCTTTTGTTGGTGTGTGTGTGTGTGGGGGGGGGGGGGGGGGTGATTAGTCGCCAGAAACCAAAAATGAGGCAAGTTGGCGAACGCGGCTCACGTTGTGAGGTCCGAGCTCGAGTGCCATCACTTTGGTGAGCAGATCGAGCGCTGCTTTGCTGGCGCAGTACACGGAGTGTTCCGGGAGAGCCACGATTCCGGACTGACTGGAAATGTTCACGATGGCTCCGGGCACTCCGCGGGCCTTCATGGTCTTCACGCAGATCTGGAACGCAGATGGCAGAATGAGCCGACCTTTCGCGCATCACACGTCTTCCACTTCCACGGGATGCACAAGGATGTAGGAAGTAGGCAGTTGTAGCCAGTTGCTTTCCCGATACAGATCGATGTCGATCTCTTAGTGCGGGAGCGGAAAAAGAGTAAACACACACGGATTCACGTTTATGCTCTACGGGTATAAAGACGAATTTAATCTTGACGGGAGGAAAAAGACGGCAACGAGATGGGCACCAAGAGAACGCGTTTGTGGTTTGAAAGTATCTTCTAGGAGACTGTGTTGAGGCTACTTCAAGAGGTATTTGGTGTATTTTGCTGGTTTGTTAAGGGCCGTTTACACGCGTACCGTTTGAAGGGTGAGGGTGTCTACGTCGAACCTCACGGGTTCCTTGAAGCGTTGTGGAATGCGGGGGTATGAACGCTGGGCTTCAGAAAATACTTGCTTTGCGCCCGTACTTGCAAAAAGAATGGAGCACTTTCAGAGATAGGCGCAGGCGTCTGCGCTTTTAATAGTGCTGAAACATAGGCTCTGGCTGCTCACAATTCGTGAAACTGAGTATGTGCCGTTTTTGCTACCAATAGTTTCTTAGATTTTTCGAAGGTCACGGGCGTTCGTACCTCGGCGCGAGCGATCGTACATCTCGAGTAATTTTTACGACAGATGTTTTAATGACTTTTGCTTGGTCAGTCGCTAGTAGCACTTGGTATGAAAAAAAAATGTTTTCAACCCGTTACACATACAAGAATATTGAAGCATGCTACAAAGAGATAAAAAACACACACACAAACACACACTCGACGTGGCGAGCACAGGATGCTCCAAAATTTAGAAAGGGTTCTTTCAGAAATCTTACCAGATCAAATATTCCGTATACGAGGACGATTTATAAAAGTTAAGGGAGAAATAAGCGCGTCATAAATTTAAGAAAGAAGATAGCATTACGAACCTGCGACACGTTGATAGCTGCCTTGACATTGACGGCGAAGATCCTGCGCAGGAGAAAAAGTATAACACAAATTGACCAATTCTGCAGGCACTCCGTGCTCTTGGCTAATGTCGTTTACGTTTTTCGAAATAATAATAATAATAATAATAATAATAATAATGATGATGATGATGATGATGATGATAATAATCTTCATTAGTTCATTAAAGTCAGAGAGACTTGTGGGATGGAGCCCGACAGTCAGCTTCGTGATCTTTATCATGTTTTTCATTGTCTCTTTTGTATATTTTTGACACCACATGGTTGAGGCAAAAAAACAAAACAAAATATAAATAGCAACGACAACAACAAGTACAACAGCAATAAGAACAGCAAGAAAGAAAAAACACCGCAACGACAATCACAACAACAACAACAACAAACAAAAACACTACCACCAACAACAAAAACAACAAAAAAAATCATGAAAACAATAAACAACAACAACAAAGAACATAATACCAAAGATCGCCTGGAAGGAAAGGATCTTCACTAAATTCTGATCTGTTATACCTCGAAAACTCCAAACGCCGGGGACCTACTTGTCCACTGTCTCCGGTTGAATGTCACCGAAGAGGTCCAGCTTCGTGATGCCGGCGTTGTTGACGAGTAGATCCACGTCTCCGACCTTGGACAGGGCAGCCGCTGTCGCGTGCCAGTCACTCAAGTCGACGCAGACTGTTTCGATGCCGGGCACCTAATGACGCGGACAATAATTGCGGGCTTAGCCGCGAAGAGACGCCGCTGCAGCATCACTGAAGGACGTTTCTCGTCGCATAAATTAATTACGCATACAAACAACGCCATGTTTGTCAAATCACGGGAAAGCTTACCTAGGCTGAATGTATATACGTTTTGTTTACTCGAACGATGACAGGTCACTTAAGTTGACAACAAATTAATTAGCAACACAGTTGATTTGGGCGTTTGGCTTCCCCTTTTCTATGATTGCCTCCGACTTTTAATTTTAATGTCCACACGAATGTTGAAACGTTGTGCTTGGCACTCGTTCTTTTATAAGGGGCTGCTTCATCATCTTTGTTATTTTGATACGCCGTGAACTCACTCACTGACCATGGAATTAACGAGGCGATCGGTCCAGCACATGGCAAATTTCTTAAGCCGCCATAAGGTATGCATGTCTGGGACAAGACTAATTGTATATATACTATATATATAGCCTAAAAATTTTGCTTCGAAAGAATAGTGGTGCCGTGCGTGGCGACCTGTCCTAATGTTATTCTTCAACGAGCTGTGTGAATGGAGCCGAGCGACTGCACGAGAATGCGAATCAGTCATAACATGGCGCCATTCGACAGGCAGAGGAAAAGTCGCTCCTTTCATTTGATGGTGGAGGAAAGGGACAAGTAGACGGATGCAATTACCAAAACGCCGTACTCACTCACCTCATTTTTAAGTTCCTGCAGTTTTTCGTTGTCCATGTCTACCGCAATGACCGCAGCTGCTCCACATCTCACCAGCTCTCGAGCGATGCAGTTTCCCATCCCTGATTTACGAACCAAATTTATTGAAAATAACGAAAACAACGAGAATAGTGTGAGCCGGAGGTCGGCAGCCCACGGACAGTACAATACAGTCCGCCAGGATGTTTCAACGAAAGTTATAGGCAAGGAAGTTATCGGAAGGCGTTTTTTTTTTTTTTTTTTAATGAAAGAACGAAGGAGCATTGCCATTACATGTCGCATCGGCGAAACTAGAACGGGAGGTCATTACAATTTCCAAGGAACTGCAACTGGTACGCCCTTTTTTTTTCACGTCGTTATTCAAACAACTATTCGCGCTGCATTCACGGGACTTGATTTTGAAACTTTCTTTGTTAGGATTGGTTTTGAGGCTGATAACCTTCCCGATATATGCAAGATTAATTTTGCTTCGTTTATTGCCTTCATTTTGAATATTAATAATCGTATCTCAATTTTAGAAATGCACGGATGTATTAAAACGGCGTGTCATCTTAGTGGAACTGTTTCGTTCACGCGTTTATGTGGAACCAAGACAGTTCGTATTAGGAGGCTGTTCGAAAAGTAAGAGGCACGAGAAAGTGGCTTTCGCTGCTGTTTTTATACTTTGGGAAATGTACAGCACTGGTTTCAGCCAACTGACTGCGGTGTAGGCCGGTCATTGTTGTTGGCGTAGGATCCAGCTCGGATGAAATTGCTCGAGTAGTATGGAGTACATAAGAATATGTACACCAGAAAAGAGAGAAACATTAGGTCTCTTTGTTTTCTAACAATGTTGTACACATTCATCAAAAGTAATAACAAAAGCCCGTGCCTCCTTCTTAACCCTTACTTCTGGAACGAGTTCCAATTACAACTTTCACAGGTCGGAAAGGGGGCGCTCATTACCGTTAGAGTTTTAGAAATTAAACCAAAATTTACATCTACTACGTTCAGTCCATTTAATTTTAACTAAAATGTGCAGAATCTCCTTTAGATAGAATAAAGCTAAATGCAACAAAATATTTGTTTTGCATCTCTTGAGTCTGAAAGAATAAAAAAAATGCTAAAAGCAAGGGGATTTTTAATTTAAACGTTCTAACATAAATTCAAGAATATATCAAGTTCAGTTAAAATATGCGTGGCTATAGAGCTAACGGTGAAGAAAGTTGCTTCGCTTGTTGTGTCCTCCAAAATGTAACGAGTTCCCTGTCTAGTTACACCAGTGTAAAATTCAACGGTTGATTTGCTGCGTTCTTAGGAATGGTGTTCCTGGACCACGTTCTTTTCAAACACATCTTTAGAACGCCGTCGCACACAACACTCCACCTTGGGGACTTCCCCTAAATTTCCGTTTAAACACTGGGACACAAGAAGGGTTATTTGTGATACACCCCGTCCCTTTCTCTGTCGCCCATTCGCCCACCCTCTCTATACGGAAGTCTCAGTAGTCTGTACAGTTCGCGGAACTCTGGCCGCAACCGATTGCGTTTGGCGACCGCCGTGGAGAGAAAATGAAACAATGCGACTTATCGTCTCGCTCTAGATAAAGAGGAAATCGTGCGTTCCCCGACGAAAAATATCTTCAGCTCAGCAAAGTATGGAATTTGTGTTAGGAAAACAAAGAAGCAAAGAAGCAAACAAAACATCAACAAAGAAACAGACAGCTATACAAACAAACATGCAAACACAAGAGCTACCTCGTAACAAACATTGAATAATTTTTTTAAAAATATTCTTTAAGTACGAGTTTTATAGATATTGCAAGGGAAAATCGAGTCTCAGGAACGACATGGCATATTTTGTGATCGACCCAAAGATACAAACCACATTGTGTTCATTCGAACGTTTTCAGGGGTAAGAGCCAAACTTTCTACCCCAGGTTGTGGCACGCATTTAAAGGTTTTCGATCTCTACGTTCCATTTCGGTCTTAGTGATGTAAAGTTTTATTAAAACATTTTTGGTAAAAAAACGTTTTTTTAATGCTGTTCAGTAGATGCCAAGTGCGAAAAATGTAATTTGCAATTAAAACCATACATATATTTTCTTTATCCTACCCAGTGTCTTTTTATCAGTTCACTGGACGTTTTATACGTTGAATGAGATAATATATAGGGGGTTTATGTCTACAAGGACCTAAGATTATGACGAGACGCGCGAGGTGAAGGCTCGATAATTAAAGATGCCACATGCTCATATTGAGGATTTGCCTGGAACAATACCATTGTACCGATTATCTCGACTTCAGGGGGCATTGGCATGCGTTTAAACTCACACATAAAATAAAATATCTATTCTATTTTTTGAAGCAGAAGCTTTATAAACTTTGTGATACCCCTTCCTGCCTGCAAAGGTTGTAACGAACAAATATAATCAAGAAGGTTGAAAGCGCTGTCGAAGTGAAATGGCCGTAAAACAGTCAGACCAGACAGAGAGACACACACACACACACACGCACACGGACACGCACACACGTACGAGTGAAGGCTCGCAAATTAAAGATAGATCTGCACATATTGAGGAGGCCTTCCTTTAGGTTCGCCTGGAACAATACCTATGTACTGCAGTATCTCAACTTCAGGGGGCTGTGCCATGCGTTTGGGCTCGTATATACTCCTTTAAAATAGAGAAATGTTATTTATTATTTTCTGAAAGCAGAAGTTTTATAAACTTTGTGATACTCTTCCTGCCTGCAAACGTTGTAACGAAAGAAATATTATCAAGAACGTTGAAAGCACTGTCGAAGTGAAGTAGTCGTAAAACGCACGCACGCACGCATGTACGCACGAGAAAAACAAAACAAGAAAAACAAAACAAGACTGAAACATAGACATGCTGTTTTACAAAGCGAAAAAAAAAAAACATGTTGTGCCGAGGGTACGTACCTTGAGCGGCTCCCGTGACTAGGGCTCGTTTGCCCACAAAGGAGGCCTCCATCTCTGAACCCTGGGAGTTCTGTCGGCGCGAATTCGGTCGCAGATTCTCCGAACGTTCCAAGAGCCGAGCCCGGGGTCTGAGTACAGTGTCTGCGAGGTGCGCCTGCCCGCGGATCTTGTTAAACGCGCCGAGAGTGGGCGGCCCCAACCGCACCTTATCGGGCGCCGCATACCGCCGTGAGAAATTCGCGGTGTCGCTCATTCCCAAGCTGACAGTGCGGTGGGAGCTACGCGGTCGCCGAACCAACCAACCTCCTCCTTTTCATCCCCTATCCCGCTCTCCGCGTTTAGGTGTGGGCGGGAGCGTGATCACGTGGCAGAAGACAGACGTGTGAGCGGTCAGACTAGCACGTAGCTTCCGCCGCACTATCAGCTTAGTGGTGATCGGTGTATAGGTGAACGTCCCCGAAGGCTGCTGGCAGACGTGCCAGACTGCCGCCGCCTTCGTAAACAGCCTCGTTTGCTCCCTGCGTTTAGTTGGCAGTTTGTGCGTCCCTTTCCTTTTTTTTTTTTTTTTCTTACCCGCGTGCTCGTGTTTAGATATTGTGGGCTTTGAACTTGGCCCCTGAACTTGCGCGCATATGATTGTGTCTGTGTCGGGGCGTGTGCGACCAGTCTGGTTAGGTTGAGCATAAAGATCCCGCCGGCTTCACGCGCGTGCGCGCGCGTGCGTTGAACGTGAGCATACGTCAGCGGACGTTTCTTTGACCTCGCTGAATATTCACGCGTAGACTACGGCGTCAAGTGGTGTCAGTGAGTCAGGAGGTATGCGTGTACAGACGGCCTGTGCACTAACCCCTGACGCGCGGATGTCGGTGGCTTTGTTAGTTTCTCGAAGGAACGCTTCGTGGACGTCTCGGTATGGTATGAAAAATGTGTTTGGGGGGGCAGTAATACGTTTGGCTCATCCTACACCCGTCCGCAGACAGGCTTCTGACAGCTGCTGTTCCGCGTGCTCGTACGTTTAGCCTCTGCTTTTCTCGCTCAGTGACAATTAAGTTCCCAGGGCTGGACTGTTTTAATCGCAAATATGGGCTGTTACTTTTTGCACGGGTGCCATACATAGCTGTGTCTTGATCGCTTAACCATAACGCATGTTAGAGCTCTCACTGTGCCCTTTTCGCGCTATTCAGTAGAAGCATCTTATCTATGTATCCATAATATATATAGAATCGGCGTTCAAATAGGGCTTTCACCTGCTGCTAAGATACGTTAGGCGAAAACGTCTTTTGATTTTAGCAGTCCACATTGAAGATATGAGGCGTGCCTATTGGTGTTCTACAAACTGCCGCCAGGTGATACATGTATATGCAACATAGTTCGATGATATCACGCGAATAATGAGGGGACTAAATTAAGGGCGGTGCGTTCTTGCAGCTTGCCTTCTCCACACCCAAACGTCTACCTTCAGGAATGTAAACATTAGAGATACACTTGAGCACATGATATGAGGAGAACTTGAGCACGTATAGCTTTGAGCTGTCACTTTGAGTTTTTCGTTACAGAAGCTCAGCTATTCGCCCAAAAAATTGAACAGACTTCGTGGTCATGGAATCTTTGCACCGCATTGCATCGCATACCACGCAAAAGAAAAAGAAAAACTTTTGATGATTCGATTTGACGGTTTCAGTGCTCTTTTGTGCAACTTGTTAAGATTCACAATGAAGTGTCCTCTGCTCGTGACAGTCGAACGTGTTTGCACCTGTACAGCGCAAGGTTATCAAATTGCTCATTGGTGTTTTCTCAGTCTTGCAAGTGGCGAGAACTCGCTCGACGGACTGCGAGTTTGCGCGAGTAGACTCCGAATTGTGAAAAGAGAAACCGTCTATACAGCCTGTTTATACATTTCCTCGATTGACCGTAAGGAGGCATAATATCTGTCAATATTTAAAGATGGATTCAGTCACAAGTCTCGAGTTATTCAGCGATGCCCGCCTGCCAATTTATTCCTTAACAAAAAAACGAAATGGTGAGGGGTACGGGCAGGTGCCAGTATTCCACATGCGGGATTGGAATTTTCATTACAACCGCCACGGACGCGTTGAGGAAAGGATACACTGACTGACCCTCTGAAACGCAAGCAAGGTTAGTTTTAGGTAACGTATTCCCACTTGAGGATGGTATAGTAGGGCATACTATACGCCGTTAGGAATAATAATAGTGCTTATGGAAAATGCGGAACAGGAAGAGTGATGCGACGAAAGCAAAGTGCCAGAGGCGCAAAGGAAAGTGAGCGTGTCAGTGTGCAGAAGGCTGGCGTCTTCAGGAAGAACGAACGGGAGTAGGTTGCCAGTCACAACCGAGTGCCTTTCGAAATCAATTTCCTTTTATATATATCACGTCATCCTGTCGAAGAGTCGGATTGTTCGGGAAAACTTAGGCTTCGCTTCCAAAACTCACAACGCCGCTCTCCCTCCCCCTTCCCTTTCGCCCTCCCCATATTTGTGCCCCTTCTTTAAAGAGGCGCTGCGATGCGAGCGCATCTCAGCATTTAGCTCTTCTTTTTACTCTTGACTTTTCTTGTACGCGGAATTAAATACGCTGATAAAAATAGCGTCCACAACACCAAACACGTTCGGCGAGATGCAATAAACAGCCGCCGGCCATATATCTTCGGGGGCCACTTTTCCTCGATCCCGTTTTAGCTGGAAGCGCTCTTGGAGCTGACTTGACAAACCCATCCTTCTTCCTCTCGCCTTCCCGCCTTTTTTTTCATTCAAGGGGAAGTACATAATCAGAAACTAGGACGAAATCATAGAAAAAAGAAAGAACGAAAGGTTCTAAAAGCGACCATCCGTTGCACGGGGGCTACAACTCGGCGATTCCATTTCGAAAGTGGCAGCGCACCAACTGCTCCGAACATAATACGCTCAATCCGTTTATGTTTTATTTCGGTGCTACGGGATCTCCTAGATTAAAGGGAAGTACAATTTGCCAGATTTTTATGAGCATCGAGAGGGTACAAAACCTCGCAATAACACCTGCCATGTTTCCTGTTTGCTTCCGTGGGCTTATTTGTTGCGTTGAGGGGTACAAGAACACAACATGCATTAAAGGGCATCGCATCTTCCACATGGAAGATGTATATGATATCGGGAAAAATATTCTGAGAAAGTTTGAATCACTTTATTAAAAAAACTAGATAAAAAAAAATCTTGGTATGGTCTTTTTTTTTTTACTTAGCTCCGTATGTTTCATTTCATTTCATTTCATTTATTTACTCTCAAGGCCGAAGCATTACAAAGAGGAGTGGTGAAGCAAAAAAAAAAAAAAAAAATACAACATGAACATAAGCACAGCAGGGAGATTACTAAAAATGGTTGCAAATGGCGCTTTTGAAACGGTCGCTGTCGGTGATTGAAGGGATGGAGGCGGGGAGGTGGTTCCAGTCTGTGCAGGTTTTGGGAATGAACGAGTGGAAGTGCAAATTGGTGCGGCTGCTTGGGATGCCAACCTTGAACTGATGGTCGCTGCGGGAAGAAATGTACGGTGGTGGCAGAAAGAGGGAGTCACTGAGTAGAGAATTGAAATGATAAACCTTGTGAAAGAGACAAAGACGAGATAGTTTACGACGCAATGAAAGATCGGGTAAGTTAAGATTAGATTTCATGGAAGTGACACTGGCAGTTTGAAAGTAATTTGAGAAGATGAAACGCGCGGAACGGTTTTGAATGGCTTCTTTTTGAAGAATAATGGAGTTAATATGAGAGTCCCAGATTGATGATGCATATTCAAGCTTTGACCTCACTAAAGTTTTATAAAGTATGAGTTTCAAGTTAGTTGGGGCTAAAGAAAAATTACGCCGTAGATAACCAAGTGCGCAATTAGCATTACTAGTGATGTAGTTGACGTGATCTTGCCATGAAAGGTTAGCAGAAATGATAATGCCAAGATATTTGTAGGACGAAACTTGCGTTAGGCGAACACGGTTAAGTAAGTAGTCACATGGTAGGATGTAATTTGAATGACGTGCAATTCTCATTGACTTACATTTAGCAGGGTTAAGTTTCATTAGCCAGGTGTCACACCAAAATGAAATGTTATTGAGGTCAGACTGAAGAGCATGATGATCAGCAGGTTCCAGAATTTTGCGATAAACAACACAGTCGTCAGCAAAAAGTTTTATAGATGAAGAAATGCAGCTAGGTAAGTCGTTAATATAAATAAGAAAAAGCAAGGGCCCTAGCACTGACCCCTGCGGGACACCGGACGTTACAGGACAGTGCTGTTTTCATCATGCCGATCTTAAATTTCCCCTTCCCATTTTTCTTCTCCTTCACTGTTTTATTTCAGTTTCAGTTATCTCTGTTTAAGTGCATGTTTAAATATCCGCTGGTTAGCGGATGTTTGTTTTGGACGAGTAATGGCCAGATATGTTTTGCAGTGACAGCTGTTAGCGCCTTCCGCCGAAATCCGGTGGTGTTCGTACGAAAAAAACACACGTGATCGCGGGGAAAGAGTGATAGCGCCGCCGCTCTATCACTCTTTCACCCCACCCACCCACACACACACATAGACATGGCCAGAACCATAGCCTCCTCTGTACTGACAAAGCCTGGCAGATCGCCACGAGAAGCGGCCGCCGAAATTGAAAAGGTAGAGCGGCAGACAAGGATGAGAGGAGAGCCACGTGACGGGCACCCCGCTGCGGCGAGACGCCGAAGCACACTTCTTCCGAGCGATGGACAGTCCGCTCGTGCTCTTCGCGTTGCTCGCGCTACCGCTTCTTTTCTCGTCGGGTTTGAAAACCGTGTTTCAGGTCCTCGCCGCTGCAAAAGCTGTGCGCTGACGTCCAGGTTCCCCGAGAAATGCTCTGTTCTACCAGATCCTCGCGCTCCAAATCTGCGACCGGGTCTCTATGGCTCCGTCGTCGAACTGCCAGGCTTTGTGAGTGTAGAGGAGGCTATGCCAGACACGAAATATTCGCTCTCCGTTTGAGGAGTGGGAATGACAATCGCGCCGTGCTAAGCAGAGTAGACCGAGGGCAGCAGCGGCACGTGAACAGCAAAGGATGCAGGACCCCGCTATCGCGTACGAGAGGCAGCGAGTAGGCACCTTTCACACATTTCCTAGAGCGAATCTCCTACAACTATTCTACTGAAAGCAAAACA